CAGTCTTTTATTTCGGTGCTTTAGTCCTGTTTTCTGGTTGGCATTTTGTTTCCCTTGATCCCCTGGTGTGTGTGTGTGTATATATGTGTATTTGTATGCGTGTGTATGTGTGTGTTCTGACCCCGCCGAAGCCTCGGAAGCGTGTCAGCACTGCAGTGTTGATGAAGCCGCACTGAGCAGGAGATGCGAGCGCTTTATCCAGCAGGTGATTGATGAAGTAGATTCCCGGCTCCACCGTCAGGACCATCCTCTCCTGCACCACACGACCCATGCGGAGACTCTTCAGACCCGGCTCATCCACACGCTCCACACCCTACACAACACACAGATGAGGAGACATACACACATATACACACACATACACGAGGAGACAGATGAGGAGACAGAAACACCATGGTGAAAACATGGTAACACATTCACTCATTAATGAAAAGCTGCAAATGAACATAATGGCATTAGCCGGATGACTTTTTCACACAATATAAAATGTTCAGGGATGTGAGGACAGAGGCATTATGAGGACTGAATAGATGTTAGTTTTTCTGTGATCTGACCTCTGGATATCCTCCCACATCGTGGACGTCGATGCCCAGCAGATGCCCCAGACCGTGCGGCATGAACACTGAGCCCAGATGAACCTTCAGCATCTCCTCCACGTCTCCATGCAGGATCCCTATCTTCAGCAGCTCCTCCAGGTGGACCCGGTCAGCCAGACGGTGCATGTCTGTCCACTTCACCCCTGAGCGGGACAGCAGAGACGCTCAGACACACTGCAGAGCTCAAACACCAGCCAAAGCATACACTTTAAAGCTGCCATGAAACCGGAGTTAAGATGTCCTTTTTACTCATATTGTGACATAAGAAATCTGACTAAAAGTGTCCTCAAATGAGAAAATAATGTGGGCGGTGCACAATTTCAAATAACCAGGTTACTGAAAGTTGGGTGATGCTTACAAAATAAAAGAGGACTGATGAATGGACAAAAGCAGAGCAGAACCCTGACACACCCTGAGAGTCCCAGGCTAAAGGACTGACAGCCCGCTTCAAAGGACTAAAAGCCCCACCCCAAAGGACTGATAGCTCCACCTTAAATAACTGATAGCTCCACCCTAAAATGCTGATAGCCCCGCCCTAAAGTAGTAACAGCCCCATCCAAAAGGACTGATAGCCACAACCCAAATAACATATATCCCCGCCTTAAAGGAATGATAGTCCCACCCAAAATGACAATTAGCCCCACCCTAAAGGAATGACAACTCCACCCTAAAGGAAAGATAACCCCATTTTAAATGACTGATAACTCCACCCAAAATAACTAATAGTCCCGCCCTAAAGGACTAATAGGCCCACCCAAAATGACCCGCCCTAAAAGACTAATAGCCCCACCCTGAATTACTAATAGCCCCACACCAAATGACTGATAGCTCCTCCCTAAATGATTTTCAGCCCCACCCTAAATGACTGATAGACCCACCCTAAAGGACTGATAGCCCCACCTTAAAGGACTGATAACTCCACGCTAAAAGAATGATAGCCCCGCCCAAAATTACTAATATCCCCGCCCTAAAGAACTAATAGCCCCGCCCTAAATGACTGACAACCCCACCCTAAAGGCCTGACAGCCTCACCCTCAATGACTGATAGCCCTGCCCAAAATGACTCATAGCCCCACCCCAAATGACTGATAGCCCCACCCTTAAGGACTGAAAGCTCCACCCTAAACGACTCGTAGACCCACCCCAAATGACTGATAGCCCCACCCTAAATCACTAATAGCCACACCCTAAATTTACACTTCCTCATTTGTAATGTCAATCTGGCAACCTGTATCTGCACCGAGTCACTGTCGGAGGGGCTGGGTGAAAATACCCTCTTCGATATTTTGAATTTGGGCTGTAATACCTACTTCAACCACTAGTTGTCAGTCCTCCAAACTGCACCTTTAAGCAGTAAGTTTGTTTTAAAGATGTGGATGTTTCCTCATGTCTGTACCTGGCTTGATGGCGGCCATTACGGCTCTGGAGGACTTCAGCACGGCTTCATAAATGGCTCTCTGGTCGGCGGTGAACTTGCCATTAGCTGGGAAAGAGCAGGTGATGTCGGAGGAGTAGCAGTAATATTCACCGCCCATGTCAAACAGACTGAAAAACAGACAGAAACACAACTGTTGTGGAGGACAATCCATCTGCAGCAACCTGACAGCAGATCTAACACACTTCTAATGCTGTGCTTTGAGTTTAATGATTTGGCTGGGTGATAAAATCAAAAACAAATGATCTACATTTTATTTTATTCTATTATTAGCACTATTATATCGCTGGTTCAAGTCCCGGCAGGGTGAGTTGGCATTTCTGTGTGGAGTTTGCATGTTCTTCCTGCGTTCGCGTGGGTTTCCTCAGGGTGCTCCGGTTTCCCCCACAGTCCAAACACATGCGGTACAGGTGAATTGGCTAGGCTAAATTGTCCGCATAGTGAATCAGTGTGAATGAGTGTATATGAATGTTTCTCAGAGATGGGTTGCAGCTGGAAGGGCATCTGCTGCGTAAAACAAGTGCTGAATAAGTTGGTGGTTCATTCCCCTGTGGTGACCCCAGATTAATAAAGGGACTAAGCCGAAAAAAAATGAATGAATCTATTAATATTAATATAATTGTACTACAGTAAGTCTGTAAACTATCATTACCTTCACATGTACTCTAAAAAAATCCTTAACATCCAAGTGCTTGAGTGTTCACATGCGTGGACAGGTCATTTGAGCTCTTAAGTGGCTATTTAAAATACTCTGAATGTTTTATATTTTGTTACTGTTTTGCAGCATATGAAGTGTCATGAATCCAATTTTAATTGTTTTAATTGTTAATTTTAATTGTCCAAAATAGGGCAAAAATAGTTTTTACTCTCTAATAGTCAAAGCAGTGATAAAAAATAAAAATAAAAATAAATAAATAAATAAGTGAATAAATAAATGAATAAATAAATAAATAAATAAATAAATAAATAAATAAATAAATAAATAAATAAATCCATGGTATAAATGTATTAAAACAGTCAGGAAAAAGTGTTTCATGTAAATTGCGACCACAAGTCTACATATATGGACATAATTTTTCGCTAAAAGTACATCATATCAAAAGATGATACTTAGATTTTTATTCTAATTAGGTTCCAATAAGCCCAAATAGTAAAGAGAAATAAAACATGCATGTAAAAAAACATCTTGGGCTCACAAATTAGCAGTTTTTTCCCCATTTATTCATGCGTTTGAATTGCATTATGAGAACTTGATCTTCCTTGCAACCACTTTTAACCTTAAAGTGGCTTTTATTGACATTTATAATAGTTTGCAAAGCTATATAGTCAGTGTTGGTGTTGTATATTACACTACAAACACCTTGTAATAAACTGCCAGAGCATTTTCAGTTATTTTATTTCTCTAGATATTATTATTTTATACACTGTATTACATTTAACACTACTGAAATGCCACCAAAAGTCACTTTGTTAAACTGTAGAGTTGAATTTTCAACATCAGAAGTGGACAGAGCAGGGGTCCGTTCTTTGTACGTGGATTACTCAGTTAGCTGGATTTGGATATTGACAATTTGACACGATCCAGGATCGTTTCGTTCTTCAAAGCTGATCCGAGAGTTGTTGTCATAGCAACAGTTCTGCTAGGTCAAACCTGATCGGGAGCAGGTTCAAGTCATATAAACAGGATTAGATCGGCTCAGCCTCAGTTCATGCAAAGATAATAAAGTATGTTCCGAATTCTGATATTTTCTTACAGTAGTAGTTACACTTGGGAAAATGGTAAATATTTTTTAATTTATATATAAAGTTATAGTTATTAATAAAATGATTAAAGTTATACATGTTAATAAAACTTATGCAGTCTGCACCCTCGAAATGAAAGTTCAAAGACTGCCACCTGCTGGTGCAAAGAGAAAACTTATTGATATGAACTTTTTAGATCGCTTTAGTACAATAGAGGTTTTTTTTTTTTTTTTTTTAAGCAATAATACATTCATGCAGTCATAAACATGTTTTGATAGTTAATATGCCAGTGATTTGATGCTTCACAAAAGTTGCAGACGCCTTTACCAATATGAAAATGCTTTTGTAAACAACCAGTTATTCTTTACACCGATTAATAAAACGGCTACTATAATAAAAAAAATATTTTCTAAATGTAGAACTAAATATACTGATATGCATTGAAATACATGATGAATACTCTTGACACATGAAAGTGTAAAGTCTGCAGCTCACAACACATGTGTAAGGTTATTGCGTGTCATATTTAACAAGCCGTTTACTGCTAATTTGATGTAATTTTGCTCACATGGATAATTGAATATTAATCAGATGATGTCATTACGCTGCTGTGCCATCAGCCAATCGTTGCATTGCTGATCATGATTTCGAGGATCGATAGATCTGTTTTTCACAACACACGCAGCGATCACAGATCAGTTTATCCAGACATTCTAATCTGATTCCCGAACTTGTTTGAAGAACCAAATTAGCGAGAGATCAGTTATCGAGATGAACAGATCCTGGATCTGCCAAATCATCTTAGATCATTTAAGCGAGGTACGAAGCACAGACCCCAGAGATCAACATCCCATAATGCTAGTCACAACCAGAAATAAACCCAAAACACACAAAGTCCAGAAACCGTTCATAAACAGATATTGGTTACAGTGTATGTATTTCTCTCATAGCGTGCTAGTGTTTATTGTCCAGCAGAGGGCAGTGTGTGTCTACTTATAAAGAGAAGATGAAGCTGAACACCACTGAACAACACAAATCAACAAGATAACAGAGAGACAGCATGATTTCATCAAATAAACATGACATGCACTCTACACGAGGCTCTTAAACTCACCACATGTCTCCGTCCTGGATGGTTTTGTCATTGGGAGCTCCGGCGTGTCCGTAATGCAGGATGGAGGAGTTGTTCCCACTGCCAGAAATTCACATGTTAAAGCCCTCAAACTTTAATTAAACTCAACTACGTTATCCAGATTCCTTATGTCTTTAAATGAGCAGTGATGATCAGTAACGTAAGTGTTGAATGAAGCTTTGACTGAGAGCTGAAATTAACATCAAACTTCACTTTAAAGTTTAGCCTTGAGTGAATTGAACAGTGAATTCCTCTGAATGACCAGAGCTGATGATAAGAGACAGCACCACACGTCACATGTAAGCTATAATTCACTGGAAATGTTGTGGGCAGCACGGTGGCTCAGTGGTTAGCACTGTGGCCGCACAGCAGGAAGGTCGCTGGTTTGAGTCCCGGCTGGGTCGGTTGGCATTTCTGTGTGGAGTTTGCATGTTCTCCCCATGTTGTCGTGGGTTTCCTTTGGGTGTTCTGGTTTCCCCCACAGTCCAAACACATGCGCTATAGGGGAACTGATGAACTAAATTTTGACTACATTAATAGAATTTATTGATTTTTATAGATTTAAAGAAGGCATTAGATACAATAAATCAATATATATTGGTAAATAAATTAGAAAGGTATGGCATTAGAGGAGTAACCTTGGACTGGATAAGCAGTTATTTAATAAACAGGCAACAGTTCATGGAAATTGGCATTCATAAATCTTCATACCTAAATGTTAATTGTGGCATACCACAAGGATCAGTTTTAGGTCCAATATTGTTTATACTTTACATTAATGATACGTGTAAGATGTCGGAGTTGTTTAAGTTTATTTTATTTGCAGATGATTTGAGTATCTTGTTCTGGGGATAATTTACCAAAACTTATGGAGTTGATTAAAACAGGAACTAATAAATTGAAGTTGTGGTTTGGTGTAAACAAATTGTCATTAAATATATTAAACAAGTAAAACAAAGGTTATGTTATTTGGAAAATTAAAAAGTAGTCATAATATAGATTTGATAGTGAAGTTATAGAAAGAGTATGCAATTACATTTTTTGGTGTTGTATTGCAGTGGTTCTCAAAGTGGGAGTTGGGACCCCCCGAGGGGTGATTTTTAAAAATCTATTTATTTTTAATAAACCATAAGAATTAGCATATTTTATCCATAACCTACTGAAGAGAAAAAAATAGTCGTTTATAGTTACTATATACTATATAGTTACTATAGTAGCTTATAGTTACTAATTCTATTGGATTGCGACCCTTGAGGTAATTCCATTATATTAAAGACAGAGCATTAGTGTCAGATGCAGCAGATTTTATAACACCAGGTTAAACTTTCTGGCCCATTTACAGCACTGACATACATTAAAATATTAAATGAAGAAAAGACTTGGGTCTTTTGGTGTGTGCGCGCCATTGCATGCAAGGTTTCTGTATTTATCACCACCTCAGGGGATATTGGGAGTCACGAGTCACTGGCATTGTCATTTTGGGAGTCGTGGGCTGAAAAGTTTGGGAACCCCTGCTGTAGACAATCCAAAAATATATAGCTTAAAAGGGCTAATAATATTGACTTTAAAATGGGTTTAAAACTATTAAAAACAGCTTTTAATCTAGCATAAATAAAACAAATCAGACTTTCTCCAGAAGACATAAATTAAAACAGAATATAAATATTAATGGGGTGATTATATTATATTAAAGACACAGCAGTCGTGTCAGATGCAGCAGATTGATATTATAACACCAGCTTAAACTTTCTGGCCCATTTACAGCACTGACATACATTAAAATATTAAATGAAGAATAGACTTGGGTTTATTGGTGTGTGTGCACCATTGCATGCAAGGATTCTGTATTTATAACCACCTCACAGGATTTTGGGGATCACAGGCTGAAAAGTTTGGGAACCCCTGTTGTATTGGATCATAACATTAGTTGGAATCCGCAAATAAATAATATGATATCAAAACGAGTAAAAACTGTAGCAATAGTGTATAAAGCAAGATTGATCCTGGACAATATATCAATGTATACAGTTGAAGTCAGAATTATTAGCCCCACACCAATTTTTTTCTTCTTTTTAAATTATTTTTCCAAATGATGTTTAACAGAGCGAGGAAATGTTCACAGTATGTCTGATAATATTTTTTCTTTTGGAGAAAGACTTATTTGTTTTTATTTCGGCTAGAATAAAAGCAGTTTTTAATTTTTAAACAACATTTTAGAGACAATATTATTAGCCCCTTAAAGCTATATATTTTCCCGATAGTCTACAGAACAAACCATCATTATACAATAACTTGCCTAATTACCCTAACCTGTCTAGTTACCCTAATTACTCTAGTGAAGCCTTTAAATGTCACTTTAAGCTGTATAGAAGTGTCTTGAAGAATATCTAGTCTAATATTATTTACTTTCATCATGGCAACGATAAAATAAATCAGTTATTAGAAATGAGTAATTAAAACTATGATGATTAGAAATGTGTTGAAGAAATCTGCTCTCTGTTAAAAAGAAATTGGGGTAAAAAATAAACGAGCGGTCTAATAAATCAGAGGGACTAATAATTCTGACTTTAACTGTATATTATATAATTGCCATTTGCAGTACTATGTATTATTTTTGGGTTCTATGTTATAAAATGTACATGAACAAGTGGAATCAAACATATAATTTGTCAAAAATGCTAAAAGGATAAAGTATGTATGTGAAGAGATGAGTAAAAGAAGACATAAGTTGAAGTAATAGAAGAATGATGTGTGTGGTAATGGGGTGGGAAAATAATAAGCTTGTGCTTCCTGCTCCATCTTTGACTACATTTTGTTAAAGATATTGTATGCATGATATTTCTGTTCGAAAATAAATAAATCAAATCTAATTAAATCAAATTGTCCGCAATGTATGAGTGTGTGTGTGTGTAAATGGGTGTTTTCCAGTACTGAGTTGCAGCTGGAAGGGCATCTACTGTGTAAAACATATGCTGGATAAGTTGGTGGTTCATTCCGCTGTGGTGACTTCTGATAAATAAGAGACTAAGCCGAAGGAAAATGAATGAATGAAAATGTTGTGTGGAAACTGATGTACATGAGGATTGGAGATTTTAGAGCTGCAGTAGAGAGATGGTTTGAGGAGAGAAATGATGTAAATGTGAGCTTATTCTTCATATATAATCATATAAATTATAATATAATAATAAATTATAAATATAATAAATAACATAAATTATAATATAATAATATCTAAAGTTAAATTAAAAGAATAATGTACACACACACACACACACACACACACACACACACACACACACACACACACACACACACACACACACACACACACACACACACACACACACACACACACACACACACACACACACACACACACACACACACACAGTAATAATGATTTGCTGTGGTTATTGCAGTGTAAGGTCTGGTGTTGTTTGTGTAATATTCAGTGAGAACATCAGTAATTACCACAGCAGACTCTGAGTGCTGACTGCGCTCTTTCTCTCTCTGTCTGGATAATTTACAAGTTTTCTCGTCTTCTGCACTGGAGTGTGTGTGTTTGTGTACAAGTTTGTGCATGTGTGTGTTTATGGGTCTCTCTGTCTGTCTGTCTGTCTGTCTGTCTGTCTGTCTGTGTGTGTGTGTGTGTGTGTGTGTGTGTGTGTGTGTGTGTGTGTGTGTGTGTGTGTGTGTGTGTGTGTGTGTGTGTGTGTGTGTGTGTGTGTGTGTGTGTGTGTGTGTGGTGTGTTTTTACCTTCCGCAGATGCAGGTGTATGAGGTGTGCCGCATCCCTCCACGAGAGTAACAGTAATGCTGGAACAGACTGAAACACACATGTGAAATCAGAAGAACAGATAACACACACTTAATACACTTCACTGAACATCTACACATGGACTTCCCCTATACACTACATAACTGCAGGTTAACTATGTTTATATATGATACCTTTAACTGTTAAAGCTATTAGTTATTAGATAAAGTTATCAGTCACTAATAAAGTTATGGTGTTGCAGTAATGCGCACCTTTTGTGAAACAATAATTATTGAATGCAAATTATATAAACAAGTGAATTTGAACTGAACTGAATTTAGCAGGAGGAAAATGATGCATAATCTTAGTTTGGACCATTAAAACGGAACGCATTGCACATTAATTTACATGATGTTTTGAATTATAAATAAATGACCTGAAACATAAGAAGACAATGTAAAATATTATACGTCTAAGTGGCTCAGTGGTTAGCACTGTGGCCTCACAGCAAGAAGGTCGCTGGTTCGAGTCCCAGCTGGGCCAGTTTTCATTTCTGTGTGGAGTTTGCATGTTCTCCCTGTGTTGGCGTGGGTTTCCTCCTGGTTCTCTGGTTTCACCCACAGTCCAAACACATGCGCTATATGGGAATTGATCAACTAAATTGGCCGTAGTGTGAGTGTGTGTGTGTGTGAATGAGTGTGTATGGGTGTTTTCAAGTACTGGCTTGCAGCTGGAAGGGCTGGAAGGGCTGGAAGGGCATCCTCTGTGTGAAAAACATATGCCTGAATAGTTGGCGGTTCATTCCGCTGTGGGGACTTTTAATAAATAAGGGAATAAGCTGAAGGAAAATGAATGCATGAATGTCTAAAGCAACACTGAAGGTCATTTTCCCACAGTGACCTGCACTAACATTGTAAAGTGCAACATGAAGAGTCTGAAAGATGCCGTCAGTTGATATGAATGAAGAGTGGCGGCCTCAGAAGACCTTGATAACTCCACACATCAACAAAACAGAGATGCACACTGATATAAAGCAGAGACATCTGAGATTTTCATCTGCTGCAAAACATCCTACAGACATGCATTAAAGGAAAACATGAGCTAAATCAAGACCTGAAGATCAGAAATTTATGACCACTGAGTGGTACAATATGGTACGGTACGGTACGCTTTTATGGCTGTTTTCACTGTCAAAGGATACCAAAAAGCAAACTGTACCATACCACTTTTTGGGTATCCTTTTGGCCCGTTTCCACTGAGTGGTACAGTACATTATGGTACAGGTCGGTACGGGTCACCTTTACCAGGCTTGCATTTCCACTGCCAAAAGGGTACCAATATTGGGCATGGTGTACAACAGAAAGTTTCAGTCTACGTCATTCTAGCTGGAGGAAATGTCAAAGTAAAGCTGTACGGGTCGCTCACATAAAGCAAATGCTTTACACACATAAATACTGTATAAATGTTCATTACTATGAAGAGGATTTGATTATAACTGCAGATCAATGATGTGGAATAGCCTACGGTAACGTCTGCGATTATATAAAACAAACAAATAAATGCAACATGTATGAACACAATCAGCCCCTTACCGTCCCCGATATGTTACCAATTACAGAAAAAATACACACAGAATACATTTACTCCTTATTTGGCTTCAAAAATAACACACAACATACAGCCCACTGATGCAAAGCTTTCATCTGAATCTTTAATCTTCAGCAGCACATGCAGCCTCTGTTACCATACACTCACACCGAAAGCGGCGAGAGCGCCAAATTAGCCGGAAGTCATTCATTTTCAATGAGAGCCGAAGACGATAAACAGCGAGGAGCAGTGCGCTACATGTGCTGGTGTGGGCATCAAGGAGAGTTGAAATCAAGTCAACTTTATGGCAATGAGCTATGATGCGGTTCAGCGGCAAGCAATCAGAATGAAGACGTCCACCGCTTGAGAGGAGTTCAGAGAACACAGACCTGTGAATTTGGTTCCGACCACAGTTGTTCCCAAGGGTTTGATTATTGCGGTTACCAGATTTGCAATTATTTACAATGTTTTCTTACAGGGACATACATTAAACAAGTTACTGGCGAGTTACTGATGTGCATTATTGTTATGTATATTTATCTTTATCTTTTTAAAAGATAATCTCATGCAACTGTACAAAACAGTACTGCTGCTTCAGGATATTTCGGACATATAGACACATTGGATAATTAAGTGGACCACACCACATGCAGCTTGATCTTCCAGTTAAATTAATTTGATAAGAAGTGCGCAACAATTTCACGCTAGAAAGCATGTTTTATGCAGGAATGTAACTGATATGCTGAAACAGCCCCTTTAAATACGAGAACAGTGTCGCAAATTTTGACGCTCTCACCGCCGGAGCTGAAGGCAGACAGCGTTGTCGCCAGGGCTGCCAGAGCAACCTTGGACGCTCTCACCGCTTTTGGTGTGAACGCACAGTTAGAGAGTAATTCCGTCACTCCAAGATCAAAATAGTCCAGAAGGTGATGATATTAGTTAAACATGGCAGTTTGTTTATGGTTTAGGTTGCTGAAAGAATCATTTGCTCCTTTGTTTTGTCCTGCTTCTCCTTTGCTTTTTTGCGCATCATTCTCACGTTTGTCCGTTTCTGAATGGATCGGGTATTAGAAGTGCTTCAATAATCACACACACGTTATTATCTTCAGCTCAAGAAGTTCCTTATTTCGAATATATACGCGCAGCGAGCTCCCTGGAGAAAGCAGAACCACTCGCACTTTTAGACGGGCTCGAAAAACAACAGCAGGACACAGCAGATTCTGCTCTTCTTGGCTTTGTGGCTGTTAATCAAGACGACAACAAGGTTTGTTTGAGCTCGGTCGAGCATGGCTTGTTATTATATGTAAATATTATTACGGTGTGATGTTTCGGCTGTGTTTTTTAAAAAAGGCGCTTCCTTTGTTTCTCCTGCAATCACACAGCAACAGACTAACAACACCTCAAACACAAGCGCATGAATATGCCTAATTGGCATATGACTTGCCTAATTAACCTAGTTAAGCCTTTTAAATGTCACTTTAAGCTGAATAGTATCTTGAAAAACATCCAGTCAAATATTATGTGCTGTCATCATGGCAAAGATAAAATAAATCAGTTATTAGAGATGAGTTATTAAAATTATTATGTTTAGAAATGTGTTGAGTTCTGCTCTCCGTTAAACAGAAATTGGGGAAAAATAGAGTAATAATAATTAATAATAGGGCTAATAACTCTGATGGGCAGCACAGTGGGTAGCACAATTGCCTCACAGCAAGAAGGTCGCTGGTTCGAGCCTAAGCAGGGTCAGTTGGCATTTCTGTGTGGAGTTTGCATGTTCTCCCCGTGTTGGTGTGGGTTTCCAACAAGTGCTACGGTTTCCCCCACAGTCCAAACACATGCGCCATAGTGGAATTGAATCCGCCACTTAAATCATGTGCTGGATAAGTTGGTGGTTCATTCCGCTGTGGCGAACCCCACACTGTAAATGCGAATAGTATTCCTTACTATCAAAATTCTAGTGTGTTTACTTAATTTTAAGCTAATTGTTGAGTTTACTAGAAATGCATTAGTGTTGCTGACATAGTAAGGTATAAAGTTCCCATAACTAATGTAATTGGAGTAAAATTGCTTATAAGAGCTAAGCCATGCTGTTACGCATGCGTACTGGGTGGTGATTTCCCATCCCCCATCCCGAGTCACAACCAACCGCCACCCAGCACCGCCATTGAAGGACAGGATTTCATATTGAGAAGATGTACTGCTGTAAAATCAAGGTAAACTTTTCGTTTTAATTACTACTTTGATTTTATTTGTATAGTATCAGTAATCTGTTTATTTCCTGCACTTTGTGAAATTGTTTGCTGTTTTGTGAACTTATTAATAGCCCATGATGTTGTGACTAAACGTTTTGACCACTGCACGTTATTTGCAATACTGTCTACTTTACTAGATAAGCTATTTTTAGCTGCTTAGTCCTTTTTAATAACTATTAATAATTTGTAAAGTTAGTAGTAATTTGTAAAGTGGGCGTTATGCTCTAAAAGAGCGGGCCGCGCCATATTAAATGATGCACTGAGAGAGCAAGAGCGCGCGCAATGATCCGTTCAAATAGATGTAAAGTTAACACAAACTGTAGCTGTAGGTCTACATTTTTAAAAAAGAAAACGAAACCTATTTATCCGCATTACAAATACAGTAACGTTAGTTATCGCTGAACTTTAGTGGCGCTTGTTGTGACGAAAATATGCGTGTTTTTTTTTTAAGATTTACTTTTATGAGATCACCTGCAGGAAGCAGGTGAGGAGATCAGCTGTGATTCGGTCCGGTGTAACACCGGCGTCAGCGAGCGGCTCATGACCAGACCAGTCGTTTTTTTTCTCCATGATCGCCGGGGCAGCAGCAGTTTTAACCCGCCGAGGCTTTTAGAACATTATAAAGCAGTTTCAGCTCAAAATGGACCCGTGAGTGTCGTAGGTAATTTAGGATTTCGATGCGATTACGATTCGTGTCACTGTATGAGGCAGATACATATTTACACATGATGCTAAAGTGTGCTTATGCTAACAATCCTTATGAAACTTAAAGTTAAACTTATGAAAATGCGAGAGATATTTAATTAACTCATTTATTTGTTTTATATGCTATTTGTCTTTTCTTTATGCCGTTTTGAAGGTTTATTCCAGTGTTGCCGTTACGTTATAGAGTGTTTTGTATTGCTGTAATGACAAATAAATCTGACCAGATGCGACTGAATATGTGTGATGGATAACGTTAATGATGAAGTGGTATAACTCGTACAACCAAGCACAGAAACATCCCTTTGTTTGCTCAATATCACACAAAGGCATCAACAAGCCTTTGTTATAAGCAAACTTTCTGTAAAGAAACAGGCTTTGCCAAACCTGTTAGTTTGCATTTTTAAAGAAGGTTTCACTAATTTTTAACAATTTAGGGCAAATCAATTTGAACAATTACAAGGTTGTTTAAAATGTAGCACACCATTAGAGTATTGTGAGTGGCATATTTGGTTTGTAATATCATTA